AATAAAAACAATAACAAAGAAAATCAAAAACAAATAAGAGAATTCTGAGAAGCTCTATGTTTAAAAATGCTTGCTTTTGGAACAAAAGAAAATCCTTTTCTTTTTTTCCAAAAGAAAAACATCCACTTTTAAAAAAAGGACATTGTGTTATATACTACAAAAAGTTTGAGGATGCTAATTATACCGCATACGCAAAAAAAATTCAAGTCAAATTAAAACCAAATGTGAAACTTTGGAGGAAATTTTTTTGTGTCGGGAATACTTTTTTGACAATCATATTTTTTATAATAGAACATAATTTTTTAAGAGATTTAAGATTAAGATTTAGGATATAACTAGTTACGGAGCTGTTGAAGAAGAAGTACCACAACAAAGCTTAAAAGTAAGTAAAGCGGCGTGTTCTCTTTATGGCACAATCTGGAAGAACAAACATCTAAGACAAGACACAAAAGCAAGAATCTATAAAGCAGCAATTAGGCCTACATTAACATACACGGCGGAGACAAGACCTGACACCTCTAAAACGAGACGACTGATAGAAACAACAGAGATGAAAATACTCCAACGAATATCAGGTAGAAGTCTGTTGGATAGGGAAAGAAGCGAAAACATAAAAAGACCATGTAATATAGAAGACATACATGGATGGGTGACAAAACAGGAGTGGAACAAACACATTTGTAAAATGGCAGAGGATAAGATAGTACGAATAGCACGAGATAAGTCACCAATAAGGCTAATACTAAAGAAGAAACAGGCTTTTAAGCCTACATACTAGAAGGAAGAAGAACAACAAGATAATTTTTAAGTTTTTTTAAAATTTTTTCTTTCTTCTATCGTGTAAAATTTTTTGTTAACTTTTTTACTTGTACGTACATAAAACTTTTGTAATAAATAGTTGATTGTTATTTATTATTTACCATTATTTACCATCAAGGTTGCCGTATTACTATATGTGATCAATAGTATAAAACGGTATTGCTAATAAAATTATAATAAAAAATGCAAGTTTATAATTTCCTACTGCTAAGTATATTTTTATGCAGTCTTCGGCCACGACAGTTACTTACCCATATAAAATGCATAGGTATTGCGCTCTTTGAATATATACATGGCTCCAACCAAAACTTTACATGTGTATCTAAAAGTATACACGCAACGATTTTGACCCTCACGTGTGTATACTTTTGGATACACATGGCGGTCAAAGTGTTAAAACAACTTAATAAGGTAAATTTTTCTGATTCTAGGTTAACTAGAAGAAGTTATATTTTTGCTCTAAATATCTACTAAAAAGTACCAAAACGGTAAAAAAATATTCTTTCAAATTCCCATAAATTCTAACATCTATCATTGAACGCCCTGAATTTATATCTTAACTAGAAGTCGGCCCTGTTTGTGTAGGATGAAAACTTAAAAAAAGAACACGAACGCCACACTGAATTTAAAAGAGTTTTCATTTGAGTATTGACTGTAACAATCCATTGAACCATCTAATCTAATTTAAGTAGAACTCGCTGCGTCCCAGAGAGCTCAGATTCCGTTACTGTTTGTTCATTTGTTGCTTCGAATAAAAGCAAAATGCGAACGAAATACTTTTAATCAACTGTTTTAGAGTTCTGTGTGAAGGTTCGCTAGAATTATACTTAAACGTTACGGATTTAAGTTTAGTAGGATGGTTTAAAAAGGAATCGTACTCTGAAAATTTTAAGATGAAGGAAAATCAAAGAGTAACTACTAATATTAAGAAACTGTTTCAACCATGGTATTTCATATCTATTAATCTATAATTACTACGTGGGCAAAACATAGAAAGGTAGGAAATCTTCGGTATTATTGCAGATACAGAAATTTTACTAATATAGAAATAACCGATCTTCTTTAAATAGTTTGTACATTTAACCCGTAACTGGTGACGTGCCACAGTTGTCACGCAACTGGTGACGTGCCGTCAAATTAACATCGTCATCAAATTAATATTAAGAAATTGCGAATGTTTTTATTTTTTAATTACTAATGCTTAAATACACCTCGCAAAGAGTCATTTTCTTTAAAAAATTGTTGCAACTGATTTAAGTATTTATTTAGATAAGCCAGAGTATGGAGTAAAAAAAAACAAATATTCACTAATTAAACCATTTACTAAAATTTTATCAAAAAACAATAAATTTCATTAACATTAACAAAATATGGAACTCCAAACTTTTTGCAATGTATGTTACCTGAAGTCATATTTAATTTAATAATTAACATCACAGTTTTTTAACAAGATGTATAATTTTTGATAACTATAAGTAATTTAAAGGGTTTTTACCCATGTATTTTTGGTGGCTCAGGCATTTTAACCTAGCAGATTTTAAACCTGATGATGGACTGTTTAGTCCGAAAACGTTTGTTTTTTTGATGTAGCCCTTTTAAGGGTTTTTAAATAAATATACCCACTTACAAAGATTAACCTCTTTTTTTTTATTAACAAAATAAATCACCTCTTTGTTTTACTTAGAAAAATGCAATAAGTAAACAGGCAAAAATAGTTATTTTATTCTATAAAAGCATACACTACTTAGCGTAGGTACTATAGGACAATTTTCGTTTCTGTATTTCTTAAAACTTCGCAAAAAAGCTATCCTTTTTTGTTGGATGTCAGGTTTTTCCATAAGCAATTTTTTCTTTGTCTCGCCAACGAAAACCAATTTAATATATTACTTTTCGTAAACTTTCATACGATCCTGTGTAATTAATTTCATTGACAAATGTACTGTATATGCCTCTCAATGTAGGATCTTTTTTTTTCGTGGACGTGAAAATTTATTAAAAATCTCCGACGAATTTCCTTATCCATATTATTCAACTTAGTTTTGGTCGTACCTTTTTGTCTTTTATTATTAGGTGTATGGAACGAATCACTTTCACCATCTTCAGCTACTCTCATTTCCTTTGAAATTTGCTTTACAAAACCAACACTAACACCAGTTGCGCGAAACACGTTCTTGAATTTTAGTTAGTTCTATAATCGGATGTTTAGCCTCCGCTTCTCGTTTTATAAAATATATTACATTTGCTGTAATTTCACGAGTTTGACCACTTAAAACTTTACGATGAACTTTTGATTTAAATTTCATTGTAACGGTATCTCGTCGTATCTCGGTGTTTAGATACGACGAGATACGACGTAGAACGAAGATTAGGGATATTGTGGAAGAAATTACAAAAATGAAATGGCGCTGGGCAGGTCACGTAGCCCGATATAATGACAACAGGTGGACACGGAGAGTTCTAGAATGGAGACCAAGGACGACAACAAGAAGCAACGGGAAGACCTCAAAAAAGATGGGTAGATGACATAAGAGCAGTGGCAGGCAAACAGTGGATTAGATTGGCGCAAGATAGAGAAAGATGGAAGCAATTGGAAGAGACCTACATTCAGGAGTGGATTTAAAATGGTTGACAAAGAAGTAACGGTATCCGATTAATAAGTCCTACACCAGTGTAATTGATATGCGTGTGAATTGTTTGCTTCTGCTAACAAAATGGAATTCGTTCTATATTCCATTGTTTTATAATTAATTTTAATATTTAATAATAAATATTTAAATATCCTACATAATATGCAGCTCGAAATCTAATTTTTGCCTATGCATCTCCATCGCTTTTTATATATGCCAAGGGCTTTCACATAAAATATGCAGCACTATCTCTAATAAAATATTCCATCAATATAAGATGCATTTTAATTAAGAAAATATCGAGGACACTTCCAGCGATGGGAGAGCAGATTGAGAGGTGAGGCCTCCTCTCTATTTTCATGAATAAATTTCTCGATGGAAATTTTTTCACTAATGGAGAAGATTGCGAAATGAGCATCACGCTCACTTCTGCGTTGAAGGAATGCTAACTAAATTTTTGCTTTTACCAGAGGATTCCCCATGCTTTTTCGTCAATAATTTCTTTCGTGATAAAATTGAGTAGAGAGTATGAACTAGAATATTAAAAAAAATCAAATTTTAAATTATATAAAGCAAAGTTGTTGTGAGACTAAAGTAATTATAGTGATTGTTTAAGTGCAAGAAATCATACGTGAGTAAAGAAAACTTTGATTTTGTTTGATTGCGTGATAATAAACTGAATAAATTATTGTCCTAACTAACCTAACAATTTGGATAAAATAAGAAGAGCAATTATCAAAATCTGGTTGCTCGTCAACTTTTAAATAAAACAGAACCGTACTCAGCCGAATTTATGAAACCGAAAAATCGAAAACGACCGAAATGAATAGTAATAACGGCAATGTTATTATTGAGACTGAGAACTCACCAAACACTAAAAAATACTCCACAGCATTGATTTACTCACCAATAACTTTTCCTAGCAAAGATCAGGCAATTATCTTTTCTGCAATAGAGGGCCTCAAATTACAAGATTATTTATTAGAACTGGGACCACTTATAGATCCAAAAAACATAATTTTTTATGCAGAATTTCAAACAACCGTGTTTGTGTATACTTATCAAGTAAATCAGCTATAGACAAAACACAGTAATACCAGTACGAAAGCTAGTTAACCCGTCACAAAGACTTGTTCTATCCAACGTAAGTCCCACAATTCCACATAATTTATTGGAAACTTAGTTAAAAATCATTGGATTACAGCTAATGTCTCTCCTTACATTCTTACGAATTGGAGCAACCGATCCAGCGTATAGTCACATACTTAGTTTTCGAAGGCAGGTGTACATATCTCCTCCAGGCGATAGTTTCCCAATTTCCGATACACTAGAAATTAATTATGATGACTTAAAATATCGCATACTTCTTACAACAGATTCATTATATTATAAGTGCAAGCAACTAGGTTATTTTGCATCTCAATGTGCCGGCCTTCAACTCCAAACTTCAACTTCTTCATATACAAGATCACAACAACAAAGTTCCTCTCTAAACCATTTATTAGACAGCAATAATGTAGGTGAGTATATATATCAAATACTACTAACCCTGAAATGATATTTGAACAAACATCAATTACTCCTATATTTAATGAGCCCAATCCCGACATACCCGCTTCTTTTGAATTTCAAACAACTCCGATAACTAAACCTACGACCTCCAAACGAAATTTATCTGAAATTGCAACACCTAGCCCAAAAGATACACCAAATATTACTAATTCCTCAGAGCCAAAATCTTACTTTCCAACACCTGTTCCAAAAGTTCCAAAGAAAAAGTTGAAGTCGAAAGATAAACCCTCATTAGAATTTCGAGAATTGCCCCAGAAGATAACCAATTTTATTGACAATCACAATCCCAAGTTCCCACTCGATAGTCAACAATTCACTGATCTGTTAGAAAATACTCACGGTAGTAATGATGCATTAAGCATTGCTAAAGACTATACCCTACCTACTCCATCTCTTATAGAAATGATAAATGAAATAAATACCCAGGCTGAAGATCGAAATATGAAAACTAAACGTACTAGACTAATTAAAAAATTAACTAAGCAACTGCTCAAACATGTTGGTTCATCTGACTTACACAGCAATATATCTCAAAACTAACTATTTAAATAAAAACATAATTCATGTATAATAATATTTTACAGTGGAACTTAAACAGTTTTCACACCCGCCTACCCTTATTTCAGGTACTTATTAGGAAATATTCACCTAATATTATATGTCTTCAAGAAACTAATTTTAAAGGCAACAATGCGTATAACTTGAAGTCACATAATATTTACTATCTAAATAGACAGACAAATCATGCAAGTGGCGGTGTTGCGATATATGCTAAAACCGATTTACAAGTAAACAGAATCAGAATTAATACAAACTTAGAAGCAATAGCAGTAACAGTAACAATAGGTACTAATCAAAAAATGAACATATGTAACATTTATATTCCCCCGAACTAAAATTTCCAAGGAAATGAACTTTCCGACTTAATTATGCAAATTTCATCACCAACATTAATTCTTGGGGACTTTAACAGCCATAATCTTCTATGGGGTTCCGAAAAAACAACTAAAAATGGAAAGTTATTAGCAAACGTAATCAATAGCCTGAATTTAACAATAATGAACAACGGAGCTAAAACTCGTTTCGACGCAGCTACTGGAAATTTTTCAGCTATTGACTTGTCTATTTCAGACCCATCGACGTCACTAAATCACACATGGCAAACCGTAGACGATATATATGGAAATTATATTTATATATTGATTACTACCAGATCTAAAAAAGAGTCTTGGAGAAAAATACCTAGAACGAAATGGAAACATAATTAATGAAAACAAAAAAATTATAGAAGAATTAGCTGAAATATACAGAGAACAATCTACAAATGAAAATTACAGTAATACTTTTTTACGATATCTGGAACAAGAAGAAGTAAATCCAATAGAAATTATAGCCAATAACGATGATATAAATACTCCAATTAATAAAACAGAAGTATTAGAAACAATCCAAATGTTAAAAGACACATCACCAGGTCCAGATGACATACCCTCAATATTCTTAAAACAGTTACCTAACGAAGCTTTAGACTTTCTATTGAATCTTTTTAATACAATCTGGTGTAAACAAAAATTTGCTGACTTTTGGAGAGAAGCTATTGTCATCCGTATACTAAAACCTAACAAACCGGCTACAGCGGCATAATCATATAGGCCAATATCACTTATATGTTCTACTTGCAAACTGCTAGAGAAAATAATAAATAATAGACTTTGTGGCATTTGAAACATCACAATTTACTTATACCGGAACAAGCTGGATTTCGTCCTTCAAAATCTACTATAGACAATGTTTTACATTTAGAAAGTCAAATTAATGAAGCCTTCTGTAACAAACAGAAATGCATAGCTGTTTACTTTGACATCCACAAAGTATTTGAGTCAGCATGGCGACACATAATATTATCAAAGCTGCAGACTTGAGAAATTCAAGAAAACATGTTGGCATTTTTGAATAACTTTCTAAATGAACACAAATTTTCAGTACGTAGTAATGGAGAACTTTCTAGTGTTAAGTCTCAAGACAATGGAACACCACAAGGATCTGTAATTAGCACTACACTTTTTTTAATAGCAATGAATGATGTTATAAAAAATCTCAAGAGACCTGCACAGGCTAGATTATATGCTGATGATATGGTAATGTTTATCAAAAGAAAAAATATTGACTCGATGGTCAAACTTTTACAAGAAGAACTAAATAAAATCGAAAGTTGGTCTAATAGAAGTGGATTCTATATTTCAGCTGACAAGACACAATATATAATTTTTTTCAAAAAGACTATTCACACTAACATACCTGCCTTAAAATTCGGCACAAAGTTTTTAAAACGAAGATAAAATATTTAGGCATAACTTTCGACGAAACTGTAAGTTGGAAACCACATATTAAACAATTGGCGATATAACATCAAAATTGGACCACGGATGCATTGCATATTCTTCAGCGACGAAATCAAATTTAAAATTCTTAGACGTTATACACAACAATGCATTACGCATTATCTCTGGAGCTTATAGAACAACTCCTGTTACATGCCTCAAGTGGGAACGTGGAGAGCCATCATTACATGAACGACGGAAATTACTTAGTCTATCTTACGCTTCAAAACAATCATCACTAAAACCTGACAACCATTTTCTTACCCAATCATCTTTATCAAATATCAATATAAGAACACATTTACCATTTCAATTAAGGATCAAAAACATTTTAAATTCTATTGAAATTTTTAACTTTCCCTCAACACATTCAGCAAACGTAAACACGCCACCTCCCTGGTTAATACCTTCGCCTACTTTAAATTTAGAACTATCATTATATCATAAATCTGAAACTAATCCACAAATATTTATAAGCAATTATAATGGAATACTTTCTTCTTTCCCTGAATATACCCTAGTTTACACAGATGCATCTAAAACAACTTCTGGTGTAAAATCATCATTTGTTATAAAAGATATAATAAAAAGTTTTAAATTGCCCACAGAATCCACTGTGATAACTGGAGAATTGTATGCAATATACAGAGCTCTAATTCACATAAAAACAGTCAAACCAGATAAATTCCTTATTATTGCTGACTCAATAAATTCCCTTCATATCCTGTCAAAAATGTACACTTGCAACCCGATAGCTAAATTAATTAAAAACAAGATGCAGCAGCTGTAAAACAAAACATTAGTCTTCGTGTGGGTACCATCACATATAGGCATTAAAGGAAACGAACTAGCAGATCAAAATGCTCGAGAAATAGCAAATTCTTCAAATATTAGACCGATAATAAAACCATTAGCAGAAGATCTCAATCCGTACTTTAAACAAAAGCTTATATGTAATTGGACTAAATATTAAGAAGAAAAATTCTCAGTTAAGTTAAAAGGAATTAAACCAAATTTTGGACGATGGACTAACAACGCCCCTAGCCGTTTCCTTTAGGTTGTATTAACCAGGCTCCGATTAGGACACAGCAAACTCACACATGAATATTTCATGAAGAAGGAACCTTAACCAAAATGTACGAGTTGTGACGTGCCGTTAACACTGAAACACGTATTAGTGGAGTGTCCCAAATGTAGTGCTGAAAGACTAACTAATAAAATTCCATCAGTTCTAAGGGACATTTTTAGTGAGTGTACCAGGGAAAATATTGTGAAATTCTTAAAAGACTGTAGCATATTGAACCACATATAAGCATGTTATTTATTTTGTTATTTGTAACTATTATTGTTTTCATTAAATTCATCCGCTAATAACCAATATGGTTAATGCGGCTGCCTTAACTAAAAAAAAAGTTGTTGTGATATGCTTATTATTATGACTTAAAATGTATAAGCAAATGGACGGAAATATAATATATAAACAAATGAGTTATTTCCTAAACTAACAGTGCGTTTAGGGCATTTTTTTTTCGTTTCTATTTTAAGACAGCCCATTAATGGCCAAGCATTGAAATAATCAGACTATTTGCAAATCGTGTTTATATACTTTATAAATAAGGGCATAAGAACAAAATTTCACCTAAAATAATAAACAATAAAAATTGCAATATACAAAAAAATATTGTTTCGTTTACGTAACTCTGGCAGAATATATGTAGTAAATTGAAAGTTATCCTTTTTATAGTGTGTAAATGACATTTTTTTGGTTGTATCAACTAAAAACTATAGATATTGCTACAAGAGTTAATTATATAAGATAAAGTGATTACTTGGCAGTATGGTAGTATGGCACTAGCGTCATTATGACATCTCATTTTTTATGAAAAGCCTTAAAACAGTCAGCGTGCAAGTAAACATTGCCTTTTCCGCACATATAAACAGAATTGTGTTGCACAGTATGCACCGCCGTCTACCTCTCTCCTCTTCGCGAACGATAGTATGACCAGTCTGGTCATATTGAATATCAGAAGGTAAACTTCCTTTAGAAGGACGACCCCATGCAGATGTGGATGGCGTTGGCTCTGGGTCTGATTCGGAGTCACCTTCTTCAGCAGCTATTTTTACTGTAAATCTTTTTTCGTTCTGTATCAGTGACAAAACCAACGAAGAACGGAATTGCAATTGGGAGAAACGAGAGTCATTTGCAATCTTTAAATTCTCTATAAATTTACAACTGTACAATCCACAAGGTTCATAAACAAGGGCCACCACCACTTTTTACTTCTTACTCGGATCCTATAATTCAATACCGAATTATCTAGATCAACCCCTCCCATATGTCGGTTATAATCGTTAATCATATTAGGCTTAGGTCTTTAATCTTTCTTTCGTAGCTTCCGATTATATCTTTTAACTGTAACAATTGTATGAACCGTTCCATTGTTGCTGGCCACAGTCACATCGGTATTATCGTTCCACATTGCAACTGATACCTACTTCTGCCTTTTTGTCGAAAGCATGATCAAACTCGCCCCTGTTCTTCTTTCCAAGCACTTTGCTACTTTTTAGAGGACATCCTGGTAACCCATTCTCTCTCACGGTGGTAGTAAAAAAAATTCCTTTCTCACCTAGAATGTGGAATAGTGCCTAAGTCGAAAAGAAGCTGTCGAAGAAAACTCTATATTCTGTACACTGTACATTACACGTAGCAGATCCAAAACTACTTCGTCCCTAATGTGTATTGAGATTTCGGCCTTCTGGATTTGCGCCACCATAAAAATGAATTGGTATAGATATCTCTCTGAGCTACACAAGCACCAGACCTTGAAGCCAAATCGCACTGGTTTAGCGTTCATAAACATTTTTGCAAAATGTCGGCCAAAATAAAGAGCCATTTGTTTATATATATACATATTATGGGCAAATAGTCCAAACTGCAAATATCGTTCGTTCATCAACAAAAATAATGGACGTATCTTGTCAAATTTATCATTTTTGTCTGTTATTATTATAACATTATTATGTAAAGTTATTATTATCGGAGACATAGAACATTTTTTTTTATGTTTTGGAAGGTTTTTGACTCATGCACTTTCTCACGAACTCCACGCCTTTATC